AAGGTCCTGGTTTCTTGCAATACCTGCAGTTGTCTGGAGGCAAATAGGGAAGCCTCTGAGTGGGCTTTAATTTACTCTCAGAGTCACATTTTTCTTCTCTAAAGATTCAGGTTGCAAAGCGAGAACGGTTGCTTTTAATTCTTTTTTTTCCTTCTGCTTTCCTGCAGACTATTTAAAAAGAACTGTACAGCAGCCTCCATTATCACACTTAACAGTTGCCCTGACCAACCAACCACACTATTTTGAATTTGTTTTTTAATATCAGGAAGAAAATTTCCTCCTAAAGCAGAAATTAGGAGATTCCTGTGCTCTGGGGCTTCCAGGTTTAATGCAGTGTGCCTTTGAAAAGTTTGCATAAAACATTCAACACAGGCCTTTGGATGTTCCCCTTCTTTCTGAGTGCATAATTCAATTTTTGATCAATTAACTTTTGGAGGAAATGCCTCTAAAATCGTTCCTATTAAACCTTGAATATCGGCCTCTAGCAGAGCTGTTTCCTAGTCACTTGCAGGAGGGCCTGGGAGAAGGTCTGGCGGTCTATTTCCCCTGTGAGAGGGATTTTCTTCAGGGGGCCATCTGGCCTGTTTGATAACTACTGTATAATCATGGGCTGGAAGAAACCCCTTAGCAGCCAGTCAGGATCTCTGTGAGTGGGGTTATGAATAGCCACTAATATTTCTAACTCCTCTCTAAATTTTGTAGGATCTTCTGACAATGGAGGCAGGAGGGTTTTATAATTTAATAAATTGGCTGCTCTCCAGGGGACATGAATTCTCTGCAGTGTAAGTCCAGGATACATCTATAATGGACACTGCATAGGAGTGCCTGAAGCTGACAGAGCCTGATTACAGAGCCCTGGACAGTAGGAGGGCTCATGAGGGACAGCAAAGTGAGCCTTCTGGCCCTTCCTGGCTGCTTCTGCTAAATTCACTTCCTGGCTTTCAGCATTTACCCAAGCGACCTGTAAGCCCCTGGCTTGGAGGTCAGACCTAAGTGCCCCCTGTAAGTCTTCTAAGAGGGAAGTTAAAATAGGCAGCTGGAGGTTTTCTGGAGAAGTTGGAGTTTTAGGATCTAAGGGAACTGGGTGAGGAGCTGAGTCTTGAGAGGGGGTGGATTTAAACCAGGAACCCAGAGATCCACAAGATCGTCTGGGGGGTCAGGGAGTTGGGGATAAAGGGGAGTACAGGAAGGAAGAGAAGGGGAATTTTTGTTAGATTTGTTTTTAATCTTTGTTCTGAGTCTGACTTCTGTTCTTTCATTTTATTAAGGGATTACCTGAGGCTAGCTGTTATACTGTTCTTGGGTTTTCTTTTCAATTTGATACTCCCATAAGTACCAATAAGGCAGCTGCTTGTGATGAAGGCTCTCTAAAATATTTTTTAAATACAGAAATTTTTCCAATTCAAAAGATCCATTGTCTGGCCATTGATGAGAAGGATCCTCATTTGTATATTTATCCCAATAGCAATTCAATCCAGTAAGCCTTATGGAAAGACCCAGTGGTAACTTTCCGGGCTTAGAATAAATCTTTACCGTGGATGCAAGAGGAGTCCCTGGAGAGGGCACAGATGATGTAGCCCCCATGATCCACAGAATTCACTCCCAAAGATATTCAGAGAAAGCAAAGACCTTTGTTGCACAGGCAGTAAGGATGGTATACTGAAAATGGTGTCTCCAGTCTCCCATGCGCGCATGAGACACCTCCAGTCACAGACCCACTAATCTGTGACACTGGGCAGGTGCTACTGGACTGGGATTTTTCCAGCACTAACAAGCAACGAAGGGTGAGACAACAAAGGCCCCTTATGGATGGGGACCCTTTATGACAAACTCCCCTGAGAGTGGCACAGCCAGACAAAGAGCATGCTGTTTGTGATTTTGTGTCTTGGAACCCCAGTCTATTCAACTAGCCACCAAGGTGCACTCTGGTAAATGCACCTTCTGGGTAGCGGAGACCAGAGAGAATATTCTCACTGGTCAAAAAGCCGAGCTCTCAGGACAGAACAAGAAAGAAGGAAAAGCCTCATCTGGTTTTTCTTATATGCACATTACCAGCTTTAGCTAAGCCTTGAGTCTCTCTTTTTTTTTTTTTTTAACTTTATTTATTTATTTTCCCCCCCAAAGCCCCAGTAGATAGTTGTATGTCATAGCTGCACATCCTTCTAGTTGCTGTATGTGGGACTCGGCCTCAGCATGACCAGAGAAGTGGTGCGTCCGTGCGCGCTCGGGATCCGAACCCGGGCCACTGGCAGCAAAGCGCACGCACTTAACCGCTAAGCCACGGGGCCAGCCCAGCCTTGAATATCTTGGAGCCAAGCTAATACCTAAGAGGGATGTGCCATGGGGTTGAGGATTGTGTGTGTTTTACAGAGTACTTCGTTGCATGGAAATTTTCTTGAGGTTGCAGGTGACCTAAGTGTTGATCTAACCCATTCCATGACCAATTTACCCTATCATGGGAGCCTTCTTGATGTGGCGAGCACCCTAATGGCTCTTCAGTGTTTGACCCTTGTCCGCCAATTTTGTGGCTTTGGCTCCAAGATGTCCCTTAGCAATAGCTTGTTTGTTTTTTTTTTTGTGAGGAAGATCAGCCCTGAGCTAACATCCATGCCAGTCCTCCTCTTTTTGCTGAGGAAGACGGGCCCTGAGCTAACATCCGTGCTGATCTTCCTCCAGTTTATGTGGGACGCTGCCACAGCATGGCCTGACAAGTGGTGCGTTGGTGCGCGCTCTGGATCCGAACCCGGGCCGCCAGCAGCGGAGCGTGCGCACATAACTGCTACGCCATGGAGCTGGCCCCCCTTAGCAATAGCTTTTACCTCATGTGCATATTAACCCACATCAAAGTTTATCTAAATAGACACCAGTCTGGTGAGACCCACAAACTCACCAGTCTCTAGAGGCAGCTCAGACAGCAGGCTTATAGGGCTTAGGTTTGTGTCCTACACTATGGTATTTCCTTCTTATGACAAATGACACAAAAGACAGAGATAAAGAAAGAAAACAGTGACTACCTCTGCGAGGAAAGGGATCAATAAAGCCAAGAGTATTTTACCAAATTTACCAGAGTCACTAAAAGCCTAAGAAACGAGTTTCACAAGTATTTTCTTCTGCTAATCTAGATATAGAATGAGAGAGAAAAAAAATTCTCACCACTTGCTTCCACCAGACCTCGCAGATAGAGATTCTGGGAGGCTGACGTGGTAAGAAATGTTAATTCTTGCATCTTGTCAGATGACCCAGGATCTCTTCATCTGCAGTAGTCCTAGGGAGAAGGCAGTTCTTTCAGCCAGAGAACGCAGTTTTTTTCAGCCAGTGAAGATCTTGCCAACCAGTGAGTATCCTGCCAACTATGCCAAAAATGTGGGGAAGGGGAAAATTCCCCCCCTTCTCCTTCTGGCTCTTATGGCTTGTTGAATAATTAAAATGATGTAAAGCAGGTTAACAGGAGAAAATCAAACAAAGTTTAATACATGCACATGGGGAATTCACATAGGCATGAAGAGTTCCAATGACAGTCAGGCAAAATGAGGTATATATGTCATTCTGGACTAAGGCAAAATGAGGTATATATGTCATTCTGGACTAAGGAGAAGGAGATAGAGGTCTGGGACTTCAAAGGGAAAGAAGGCAATTTATAGGGAGATGAAAAGAGTTAATGTTTGGTAAACAGATGTTTTCTGGGCCATCTAGAGACAATGGGACCCAGAGAGGACTTTGATCAAATGGGCCTTGCTAGATTCCTCCCTGTCTACCACACCTACTTCATTAGATACTAGAATTATCTATGGTGATAGTTCTTTCCTAGGACAGGCCCTTCTATCTAAAATTCTTTTAGCTCTGAGCTAACGTCTATTGCCAATCCTCCTCCTTTTTTTTTTTTTTTCCCCCAAAGCCCCAGTAGATAGTCGTATGTCATAGTTGCACATCCTTCTAGTTGCTGTATGTGGGACGTGGCCTCAGCATGGCCGGAGAAGCGGTGCGTCGGTGTGCGCCGAGGAGCCGAACCGGGCCGCCAGCAGCGGAGCGCGTGCACTTAACTGCTAAGCCACGGGGCCGGCCCTATATCAATTTAAAAATGTAAAAAAAAACCATAATTGGAGGAAGGGTCAGAATTGGGTAATAGATATGGGAATCATTTATGGAAGCAATTATTTAAGGGATGGGAGTGGATTCTCTGTAGAAGTGCCATTCAATAGAATTTTCTGCAGTGATGCAAATGTTCTATATCTGTGCTGTCCAATTAAGTGTTTAAAACTACTGAATATGCATGTAAAACAGTCAGAAAAGCTGTAAACCAAACTGTCACAGTGCCTCCCTCTGGAGAGTTAAAAAACAGCTGGCTTTGGAGTACAGGCTTAGAGTAACCACTTAAACTCTCTGCACCTATGCTTCCTTACCTTTAAAACAATAATAACAGATTTTGTTTTGTTTTCAACAAGTTAAATAGTTACATGCAAGACCCTGTGCTGCACCACTCGGACTGAGGGGCATTCACAGTGTGTTCTATGTGATGGCCCCCTGGAGCACAGAGACAATGCAAGTGGTGCTCTCCAGAGCCATGCAACATGGTGGCACTGATTATAGGAAAGTGTCTCCAAGGGCCTCATCAAATGTAAATTCCTTTCCCTTCCCAAGAAAAAGACCTTCAAATACATCAGCTTTAGTGTTCAGATATTTTGAAAATGACCTTAGAACAATGCAGAGTTAAAGTTGTCTTTGTTATTAATTAAGCAGAAAAGCAGAATAGCCACAGCATCACCATGTGTCTTCGGAATGTGAACTTGTGCCTGCAGAAACAGCATTCTCCCCCAACCTCCACCCCACTAGTTTTTACACCATCAAATTACCACATGAAAGAAAAGAGATTTGTGTCAGAAATGGCCTCATTTGTGTTGGGCTTATTTTTCTGGTTTCTAGGGCTAGGCCAATAGTATGGCCAGTAGAATCATAGGTCAGGCCAAACGTAAAGCTAATGAAGTCCATGTTTTTATTGCCAGTGGTGTGGTTCATCAAAGAGCTGACTGGGGCAGCATCCACGAGAAGATATGTCAGCTCCTGATTCCGCTGCGCACTTCCATGCCCTTCTACAACTCAGAGGACGAGCGGCAGCACGATCTGCGGCAGCTGCAGCAGCGGCAGGTGGCTCCTCAGGACTGTTATAGGGTTAATGCGTGGTGCAGCGAAACTCCCAGGAGGAGGGGTGTACTGTGTGAGGTCACTAAACTGGAACCTGTTTGAGGGCAGAGCCTTTGTTTTATGTCTTTATGTCCTCGATACCATTCCTTCTGTTGTTCTCCACATATTGACAAATATCTTCTGAATTAGTTTCCTGGGGCTGCCATAACAAAATACCACAGACTAGGTATTTTGAAAACAACAGAAATTTATTTTATCACAGTTCTGAAGGCTGGAAGTCTAAGATCAACGATAGGTGTCAGCAGGTTTGGTTTCCTCTGCGCACACGCATCCCTGGTGTCTCTGTGTTTCCAAATTTCCTCCTTTATAAGGAGACCAGTCAGATTGGATAAGTGCCCACCCTAATGACCTCATTTTAACTTAATCACCTCTTTAAAGGCCCTATCTCCAAATGCAGTCACATTCTGAGGTACGGAGGTCGTGGCTTCAACATAGGAATTTGTAGGGGACAAAATTTAGCCATAACACCCATATATGCCAAGTACTGTGATAAGAGCCTAGGCAGGTAGTAGGAGCTCAGAACATGATTGAGGTGTGAATATACTGGTGAGTAAATAAAGGAGATTGGAAAACTATTATTACAGCATTGATAGCATATCAATTATTCTTTAAAAAATAGTGCTTTAAAAGCCATAAATCTCAAAACACCAGATTCATCAGTTTTAGTGTTGTGACACTTTGAGAGTGGCCTTAGGACGATGCAGAGTTAAAGTTGTTTCTGATATTAGCTAAGAAGGATAACTCCAGAAGGAAAAATAAGATTTTTCTCTCAAAATTAACTCAAATAGAAAGGCAGAAAGTTTTAGATCATCCTGAGACATGACAGCTTTGCTAAACTACAATGTTGTTATAAATATAAGAATAACGTGCAGTTAATAATTTTATATTGAGCACTCATTTATGCCGAGCACTGAGCTAAGATGAAAAGACGCTGTTCCTGGACCTTGAGGAACTCACATCAAAGTTTGCCTTTTATATCACCTATTTTGGGTCTCGTGTCCACCTTAATACAGGCAGGCTCACTGTGTGCCCTCAGCCGGTTCCTTAGGTGTTGGCCTTATCTCCAGGTGTACCTCTATATCTGGCATTGCCTCTTAGCATGAGAGTGTCTCAGATGATCTGGTTTTTCTTCCGCAGAAGCACTTGATTGAATTCTGCTACACTGTAGCCCAGAAATATCTCTTTGAAGGAAAGCATGCAGATGCTGTCCCGGCAGCTTTGCATTCTCTGCGCTTCCGCATGAATGTGCACGGCCTGAGTTCAGTAGAGCTTGTGCCTGCTTACCTGCTGTTGGCCGAGGCGAGCCTTGGTAAGTGAAACCAACTCGAGACTGCCTGGAGCCCTAAAGAGCTATATTGGGTCATATCAGTGGCCAGAGTCCAGCCTTGGCCATGGCACCAGGACCGCTTTTGTGGAAGAGCCGGGTTGCTGTAAAGTTTGCACAAGGTGGGGAAGGAGACGTCATGGACTTTTGACTACAACTGACAGAAATCCACTCTAGCTGACCAAAGCAAAAGAAGGAAATTTATTAGGATGCTGGAGTGTCGAAGGGAATTGAGGCTTCATGAGGTGCTGGAATCAGAATGCCGTGACGAAGGCTGGTGCTCTCAGTTTCTCTCTCAGGCCTTGTCTCTTGTCTCCGCTTCTCTCTCTGCATCTGCTTTATTTTCCATCTCTGCAGACCAAATTTTTCTACCTTATGCTTACTGCAGAAGACAGCTACCCCTAAATGTCAGATGTAGCTGAATTTATGTTGAATTTATGTCTTCTAGGTTCAAGGTGGGTAAAGGAAACTAATTAGCATTTGATTGCCAATTTTAAATTCCTAGAAGAGAGGACTGTGTTGACTGAGCTTGAGGGTGGTATCTACCTTTACGTACCTCTGTGTCAGGGTCCCATAGTTCAAACAGGAATATAGGAACCCACTCGTGTAGATGGGAGAGGCAGTTCTTAGAGCGGGGAGCACAGACTTGGCAGGCAGCCCCCATGGTGGTTGCTGTAAGAGGAGAATTAGCATTTTTGAGGGGAATTAACATTTTTGAGCATCTATACTGTATTAGGTACTATACTACCACTTCATACATCTTAATAGCCACTATCTTTTAAAAAACAAACTCTTAAAGAAGTTAAGCTGTTGGAAATACAATACAGAGAACTTTTTCCCTGAGCTACCTGAAAGTTGCTTACCTGATGCCCTGTGCCTCAAATCCTTCAGTGTGTGTTTCCCACAGACTCCCCACAGTTCTCCTTCACAACCAGAATACAACCGTCAGCTACCGAGCAGACCCTAGTCAAGTTTCTCCAGTTGTCCCAATAACATCTTTATAGCAAAAGGATACAGTTCAGAATCCTGGTTTTCATTTTGTTGCCATTTGTCTTTAGTCTCCTTTATTCTGGAATAGATCCTCAATCTTTCCTTGACTTTTATGACTTGGACACTTTTAAAGATTAAAGGCCAATTATTATTATTATTTTTTAAAGATTTTATTTATTTATTTATTTTTTTCCCCCAAAGCCCCAGTAGATAGTTGTATGTCGTAGTTGCACATTCTTCTAGTTGCTGTATGTGGGACGCGGCCTCAGCATGGCCAGAGAAGCGGTGCATCGGTGCGTGCCAGCGATCTGAACCCGGGCCGCCAGCAGCGGAGCACGCGCACTTAACCGCTAAGCCACGGGGCCGGCCCAAAAGGCCAATTATTTTATAAAATGTCCCTCAATTTGGGTTTCTCTGACATTTCCTCATGACTGGGTTCAGGTGATGTTCTTTGGCAGGAATATCACAGAAGTGATATATGACCATGGGCCCATACCAGTACATCCAGATCCAGCCCAACACCACCACAGGGTTCAATTTAATTTTCTCCCATTCATAGCCATTGCTCCCTTCCCTGCAGTGAGAATGCTGGCTTCCATTTTCATTAATATATTTATATATTATCATTTCCCCTGTACGAACCAATCTCCCACCTCCAACCGTATCCTTTCCTCTTGCAGATGCCCTCCTCTCCCTCTGTGGGCTCTGACTCCTCATTCCGAGCTGCCCCTTCTACATAGATCCCCTCCTCACTGGTTTGGGCTCTGGTGTGGCAGTACCAGGCCACTTAACTGCAAGAACGCCCTCCTCATTCTGCTCAGGTCTGATTCCCCATTCCAGACTGTCCCTCCTGCAAAACTATTGGGAAGAGCACTGGACAAGGAAATAAAGTCCAGGTTCTATTTATTTCTGACACTGACGAGCTATGGGATTTTAGAAAAGTCACCTTGGCCTAAGTCTCATCATCTCTCATCTGGACTATTGCCTGTCAACTGGTCTTCTCTGGCCTCACTCCAATCTGGCCTCCACACAAAATGTGATCAAGTTGCTTCACTAAATAAAGACCAAATTCCTAAAGCAACCTATGAGACGCTGCTTGGTCAAGCCTTTATGAATTCTCTCACCTCATCTCGCATTCTTTTCTCTCTCCTTTTTAGTTATACTGGCCGTCTCTTGATTCCTCAGAGGCAACTGTGATGCTTCCTTGCTCTGGAAGGCTCTTCTCCAGACACTCTCCCCACTTCTCCTCCCCTCCCCTTCACCTAACTGACTCCTGTTCATCCTTCAGGTCTCAGCTCAAGAGTTGCCACCTCCTTGTCTAGAAGCCTTTCCCAAGCCCCCAGACTGGGTCAGGTCCCTTTTTATGTACCCACTTAGAAACCTCTTCCTTTTTTCTGGGCACTTACTTCAATAATAATTATACATTCATTGATGAGATTATTTAATTAAAGTCTCTCCTCCACTAGACCATAGGGTCAGGGAGAACTGTAACTATATCTGTTCTTACTTGTCATAGTGTCTCCACACCCAGAACAGTACTTAGTGCGAGAAGGTACACAAAATCTCCGCTTACAGTACCTGACACCTAATGGGTACTATGTAAGCATTTGTTAAATCTGAGTCCTCTTCACAGGATTGTTTTGAGGATTAAATGAGTTCATATGTAATGAACGTGAAAGTGCTTTGCAAGGTGGAAAGTTCTGTCTAAATGGAAGGTTTCATTATAACTCCCATAGTCATTGATTTAAAACCTTGCCAACCTTTTGGAAAGTCTGAATAAATCACATCCCTGGTGCACATGCCTCTTTCCCATCTTAGAGATTCCTCCAGACTTGAATGGAAAAATAGGAGATATTCAGCCTTTATTTTTAGTAAAACTTTGGAATTTTAATCAACTAGAGATGATATTTTCAGTAACACTTCAAAGAGGAGGCACCTTACGCATCTTCCCCCACTGTTGTCAGCACTTCTTTACTGGTTGGGTGACCCTAGGCATCAAGGTCTTTCTTACCTCGGGGCCCTCACACATGCTTTTCCTTCTGCCTGGAATGTCCTTTTCTGCCTTATACATGGCTGACTTCTTTTCAACCTTCAGGTGTCTACTTAAATGTCACCTTCTCAGAGAGGTGTTCCCTAATCATCCAGTCAAAGTAGGTTTCTCCCCGCTTTTTCTTGATCACTGTTCTCTGTTCATTTCCTTCATAGTACTTCATTTTTTTATTTGTTTATTGTTTACCTACTTCACTTGATTGTAAGCTCCTTAAGGTCAGGGGTCATGTCTGTTTTATTCAGCAGCATGCACTGAGCCTCTAGCAGGGTGGGAGGGACTCAGATAAGATGAGTATATGGTTGAGTGAGTGAATGCAGTTTCCTCCTGTAAATGCCTCCTCTGGCATTTCCTTCACAGGGTTGTTGGCAGACTTAAATCACAGATGCCAATGGCCTAGCATAGTGTGTAGAAAAAAGCGGGCCCTCAGTAAATGCTGATTTCCTTCTCTTCCCCTGATGCTCACAGCCACACCTTTGAATCATCTGTGACCGCTTTATTCTGTGCTCCCTTCCTTTCATCACCAAGTCCTGCAAAATATTCCCCCATTCCGCCTCCCAGATCTGCCACTAACCCAGGGGAAGGCTGTGTCAGTGCCACTGCTCCTTCAGTGGCTATCCTTTCTCTATCTACTCCATGTACTATTAAAATCACCCTTTAAGATAGTCTCACTTCCTTTGGCAACTTGACATCTCCACTGCCTCCATTCCATCCCTACACCTCTCCAGGTGAGCACTATAAGAGGGCATGCCTGAACTTACCACTCACTGGTCACAATCTTAGTTCTCACCTGTTTGTAACAGCCCATTCCTCTTACGTTACTCTCTTCCATTCCCTGAATTTTCAGCCTCATAATTTTTTCTCCCAAGTATGCCTTTTTCTTTGGGATTCATGCTTGTAGTTGCTGGTTCAGCTTGGCCTTGGGCCTTCTTTCTTTGGCATGACCTCTTTGAATGAGAACTGGACAATGAGAATTTAAAATTTCCAGTGTATGTCAATGGCTTCTACCAATTTTTTCCCCATCTAAACAATCTTAGCTAAGAGTCACTTGCTTCTTTAAATTTGAGAGGACCTCCGTCTAAAACTCTTATTTTATAGACAAAACCCAGATAGAAGATGTGACTTGCCATGTTCACATGAGCCAGGATCATGGGCCTAGGCTTCTTACTTCTAAACTAGTATTTTTTCCATTTTAGTTTGAGCTTCAATCAAGCAAAGCTACTTGCTTCCTCCTGTAGATTGCTTCTTCTTCACCTCTCCTCCTTTAACTCAGTGACATATGATTACAACTAGAATAAAACAGTGCTTACATATGAACTAGGTCTGGGAGGAAGGACAAAGAAGAACCAAAGGATGACTTACGAGGGGTTTGTGACCTCATCTCCTTTCCTGGTGCCATTTCTGCTGCAGCATCCATCACAGGAAGTCTTTCACGCCCAGAGCATCCACCTCCTCTGCAGGAGGCTGTCAGAGTAGTCTTCTCTTCATTTCTGACAACCTCCCTAGGAGGCAAGCAGTAGGCAGGAAGCTGTTATGTATCTTTATAGCTAAACAAAAATTTTAAGTGTCAAGAGTATCTGAATATTAGAAATGAAGGTGACTTTCACTTAGTAACCATGTGTTGTCCGTTCTAGCTCCTAAAAGTCTCTTGCATGTCTGCTCCATCTTCATTCACTGCCTTAGTTCAGGCTCTTATCAGGGCTTGTCTGAACTATTTCAGAAGTCTTCTAGTGAGCCTTCCACTTTTCTTCCTCCCCTCTGTTCCCTCCTCCACACTGGCTCCAGAGGATCCTTCTAAATCTAAATCCAATTCTCTCTCCCTTTCTGAAAATGCTCTGATTTTTATCCACATGTATCAAGCTTCATCATGCAAGTCATCTCAGCTGCTATAACAAATACCATAGACTCGGTGGCTTAAACAAGAAAGTTATTTCTCACAGTTCTGGATGCTAGAAGTCCAAGATGAGGGTACCAGCAAATTCAGTATCTGGTGAGGGCCCACTTCCTGGCTTATAGATAGCTACCTTCTCACTGTATCCTCGCATGGTCAAAAGAGAGATTATCTCTCTTGCATCTCTTCTTATAAAGGCACTAATCTCATTCATAAGGGCTCCACTTTCATGACCTAATTACCTCCTACAGGCCCCACCTCCAAATACATCACTTTGGGGATTAGGACTTCAACATATGAATCCTGGGGGAACACAACATTCAGTCCATAGCACTCACCATGCCTCTCCCCACTCCATTGTCCTCTCCATCCCATCCATGGAATTAAACACTTCCTACTCTCTGCCACTTCCAAACCTTATGATGTTACTATCATTGCACTTACACTATGTTATAAATATATTTCTTTTCATGTCACACATGCGTTCCCCACACGTCCCCCAACCCAGCTATAAATTTTTCAAGGGTAATGGCTTTAATTCATCTTTGAATCCCCATCACTCAACACAAGGCCTGGTACATAAAAGAAATTAAGTATACATATACATATATTTTTTAATTGCGACATACATAAATTCATCTACCATAAAATTCACCCTTTTAAAGTACAATTCAATGGTTTTAGTATATTCACAAGATTGTGCAACCATCACCACATCTAATTCTAGAACATTTTAGTCACCCCCAAATGGAAGTCCATACCAAATTAGCAGTCACACCCCATTTCCCCATACCCACAGTCCCCGGCCATCACTAATCTACTTTCTGTCTGTATGGATTTACCTATCCTGGACATTTCATATAAGTGGAATCATGCAATTTGTGGCCTTTTCTGTCTGGCTTCTTTCACTTAGCATAATGTTTTCCAGGTTCATCCATGTTGCAGCATCTCCATTCCTTTTTGTGACTGAGTGATATTCCACTCATGGATTTGGATAGACCACACTGTGTGTATCTACTCATCAGTTGATGGACATTTAAGTTGTTTCTATATTTTGGCTCTTATGACTAGGCTGCTATGAAAATTCATGTACAAGTTTTTGTGTCAATAAATGTTTGAGTGACCAATAAATGAGTGAATGGGTGATGACTCATATTTCATCATGTGTTCTCTGGCCAGGATACGAATTATAACCTTCTTTACTTCTTTTGGGCAGGTCTAGGCCGGATTGTCCAGGCTGAGGAATATCTATCCCAAGCCCAGTGGACAGTCCTCAAATCAACTGAATGCTCCCATGCCACCCACTCGTTACTGCATCGGAACCTGGGACTTCTCTATATGGCTAAGGAAAACTATGAGGAAGCCCGTTATCATCTGGCTAATGATGTAAACAAGCCAAATTATAACACCTGAATGTTTCTGAGAACAGCTCTGTATAGTTTTAGTTGTTTTTTTTAAACTGAGCATTTCTCTAAAACTTTCTGTTTACACCTGACTGTTTGGTGGGGCATTAGCAAGAACACAACTCTGATAACCTGTGTTCAAGCCTTTGCATGCTTGGCTATGCAACCTTGGCCAGGTCACATCATTTCCCCAAACATCGATTGCTGGATAAAGGGATGCAGAACAGCATACTGGTTAGGAGAAGGGCTGTACTTCTAGTTCCAGCTCTGTCATTTCACCACAGTCTTGGACAAATTATTCAACCTCTTTCAATACCTTTAAGACAGAAATCATAAAATAGTCTCTGCCTCATTGGGTCATTGCAATGATTAGTAACAGGACAATACATGTGCAGCACTTTGGCTATTATTTTTATAAATAACATCACTGTCTCTACTTTAGAATGTGGTTATTAAATTTAAATGAGCTTGAGGTATATGAAAGTGTTTATAAACTATAAAACTCTACAAATGTTAGACAGGATGATGAGGGTGATCTAGGTGATCTATTAGATCCTAATAGAAATTAAGATTTCAATATTGGACTGTATTACCAGAGAGGAGTTCCTGAGCCTGAAATCTCATTGAGGTTAGAGTCAGACTGCAGTCTCCATGCAGGATGTTTGTCTCTTCAGCCTCTCCACTGGCACCCCTCCCTCTGGTTGCCTGCCACTGCACAATGCTCTTAAATTCACTGGAAACATTCTTGTGCTGGTTATTCTCCATATTCCCTCATCCCAAATCCTTTCCCTGCCCTACTTGACCCTGGGAGGCTGATCCCTATGGAGTACACAACCTGGACTCCATTGCTCTCTGTCTTTGGTTGGGTTTGGAGAGTGAGAGGTGTGGCAGGGGAGTGAAGGTTGGGAGGAGAGAAAGGTTGAGTATTTACTCTCTCTGCTGCCTTTCTGCCCCAGCTCACTTCTGGCCGGGGCAGTGTTGCTCTGTGGCCACAGCCCCTGTCAGGTAGCCTTTTTCATTGCTCTAGCTCTGTCCTAGTAACCCTGTCTGTCTTCTCCCCTGGCTTCTTCAGGAGTCAGGATGGGAATAATTTCGTGCTGTTGACATCCTGCTTCACTAGCTCTCACTGGCTCCTTAGCCCTTCCACACCTCTGAATAATCCTTTCATTCAGCTGTCTTCAGGTAATCCTTTTGAGGGTGCCATCTATTTCCACCTGCAGCCTGATTAATACACGTCTTCATTTGTGTTTCCTCTCTATACTCGACCCCCTCCAACAAATTAAGCAGAGGTACATTCTGTCCTGAGCTGAGTCACACAGAATTAGATCAAGCTAGATTCCTCAGCCTAGCTTTTTTGTTTGTTTGTTTGTTTTTGTGAGAAAGATCAGCCCTGAGCTAACATCTGATGCCAATCCTCCTCGTTTTGTTGAGGAAGACTGGCCCTGGGCTAACATCCGTGCCCATCTTCCTCTACTCTATATGGGACGCCACCACAGCATGCCCTGACAAGCAGTGCGTTGGTGCGCACCCAGGATCCAAACCTGCAAACCCCCGGCCACCAAAGTGGAGCGCGCACACTTAATGCTGTGCCACTGGGCCGGCCCCTTAGCCTAGCTTTTTAAAAAAACAAAACAGAACACAGCTTTATTGATACATACCGTAAAATTTACCCATTTTAAGTGCACAGTTCAATGATTTTAGTAAATTTGCAGAGTTTTGCAACCATCAGCACATTCCAGTTTTAGAAAATTTCCATCACCCCAAAGAGACCCCTCATATCTATTTACAGTAATTTCTTATTCCCACTCCCAGCCCCAGGCAAACACTTTCTTTCTCTCTAGATTTGTCTTTTCTGGACATTTCACATAAACAGAATCATATGTGGTCTTTTGCATCTGAACTCCTTCACTTACCATAATTATTTTGAGATCCATCCATCCATGCGGTTGTATCAATACTTCATTCCTCTTATTGCCAAGTAGTATTTCATCATCTGGATATACCATGATTTGTTTATCCATTCATCAGTTGATGGACATTTGGGTTGTTTCCACTTTTTGGTTATTATGAATAATGCTGCTATGAACATTTGTGTATAAGTCTTTGTGTGGACACGTTTTCATTTCTCTTGGGTATCTACCTAGGAATAGAATTGCTGGGTCATATAATAACTCTATGTTTAACTTTTTGAGGACTGCCAAACTGTTTTCTACAGAGCCTGTACCATTTTATATTCCCACTAGCAATGTATGAGGGTTCTATCTTCCCTACTCCCTCACCAATACTTGTTACTTTCTGCCTTTTTGATTATAGCCCTTCTAATGTGTGTAAAGTGGTATCTCATTGTGGTTTTATTTGGCACTTCCTTAATGACTAATAATGTTGAGCATCATTTCAAGTGTGTATTAACCATTGGGATATCTTTGTGGAGATGTCTATTCAGATCCTTTGCCCATTTTTTAATTGTTGTAAAAGTTCTTTATCTATCCAGAATACAAGTCCTTTATCAGATATATGATTTACAAAGAGAACTCCAGTACTCTCCTTCCTTCTGCTATAGATTTATTTTGCCAGTTGTGCATTTGGAACAGAGGACATCAAGACCTCAGGAGGCTACTTCCACCTGGCTAATCTCTTCTATGGCCTTAAAAAGTCGGACCTGGCAGACACGCTGTACACCAAGGTAAGCTGGGGAATGTGGGAGCTGAGCCTTGACACTTAGGCCTTGTATCTTACAACTAGTATCAGACCATTCATGAGAAATTTGAGGCACGGAGAGATGAAGTCACTTGCCCAAGGTCACATAGCCTGATACATGATATATTACACTTTTCTTTCTTCCTGTTTCTCCACTACCAAAATAGACCAGTCCTTAGTATCCATAGGGCAATTAACAAATAATAAATGATAGGTCAATAAGAACCAAACCCATCCAGATAGACTGCCCTGTGCTCTGTCATACCCATAGGAGCAAGCTCATGTGGGCATATTGAAGTGTGTGATAGGAGACAAGGTTTTAAGGGAAAATTATTACTGAAAGGTTCTATGGAGGGATCAAAGAACATGAGAGTACTTTACAATTTCCATCTTTACATGTAAAAGATTCCATCTTTACATGTAAACTGTTTCCAATATATTAAAATATTGGTTATATTCATACAGTAACACTTCACTTAGCAAGCAACCATTTCTGTGTATGATGTAGGCGCTCATCCTGTGACTGTGTATCTGTATTTTAGGCCCAATTGTGAGGAAGAAGCATTGTGATATAGCTGAAAAAAAATGAGCTATGGAGTCAGACAGACTTGAATTTAGATCCTGGCTGTGCCACATAGCATCTCTTACCAAAAGTCAACTGTGATCTTAACTTCTCTGCGCCTCAGTTTACTTATCTATAAAATGGGAATAATAAGAATATGACCTCAATTTAGATGTTGTGAGGATGTAAAGTTTTTGTTGTATGTGCTCAACAAATGGTAGCCATTGTTATTAGACCTCACCAGGACTATCCCCAGATCAGCCTGCCACGTGCCCTTTGCTGCCCAACACTTGTCACACTCACTTTGGCCAAGACTGGGCTCCTAAGGCTCCTCCTGCCTCCAGGCACAATGAGAGAGGGAGTCTGCAGACTTACAGGAAACCTGGCCTGAGGTGCTGTACTCCTCACTGGTTGGTCCAGTGGCTGAGGTCTGGCCTGCTTGCCTGATTGCCATCTCCTTTCCCTACAGGTCTCTGAGATCTGGGATAAATATTTGGACGATCGCTATCAAGTTCTCTCGCAGGCTCGCATCCAACAAATAGATTTACTGGGCAAACAATTTGAGACTGACACCGGCTTGGGTAAGTGGCAGTTCTCCCTAGGAAGCAGAGCAGTGACTTCGTCCCTCCTCATCCACAGGCCCTGCCTTAAGAGGGAGAGCAGTGGTCCCTGTTGAGGAGCACATCAGTGCCATCTTCCCTATTTTGCTGATGGGGAAACTGAGACAAGGCATCAAAAGGATTTGACCAGTGTTGGAAAGAATTAGATCCCTAGCATCACTCACAGCCCTTCAAGGGGTTAATAAGGGAAAGATTTGGAGGAAAAAATACCCTGCCAAAGCCCCTATGATTTCTGCAGAGCATCCATTTCTTATGTGTTATCCCTCCAGGGCACATAAGCCAAGGTAGACTCCATGCAGAAGTCACATTCCTCATTTGTTCTGCTGCCTTATGCTCTTCCTTTATGGGACAGTGAGCTTCTCAGTGGCAGGGCTGAGTTTGATTCATCTCTCCATCCCCAGGCTCCCCAAAGAGCTGAGTGTTGAGTAGCACTGTACAACATCATTCCCTCTGAGATAATGAAAAGAATCAGAGAATCTAGTTTCTGCTCAAAAGAGACATACAGTGTAGGTGGTGAGACAGAACCTATGTGAAATACCAAAAGAAAATTTCTAGGGGCTGGCCCCATGGTATAGTGGTTAAGTTCAGTGTGCTCCGCTTCGGCAGCCTGGGTTCAGTTCCTGGGCGCAGACCTACACCACTCGTTGGTGGCCATGCTGTGGCGGTGACCCACATACAAAATAGGGGAAGATTAGCACAGATGTTAGCTCAGGGCCAGTCTTCCCCAAGCAAAAGGAGGAAGATTGGCAACAGATGTTAGCTCAGGGCCAATCTTCCTCAGCAAAAAAAAAAAAAAAGAAAGAAAGAAAAAGAGAATTTCTATGAGTACAAATTATATTACAAGATGAGTCCCAGAATGAAGAGATGAGGATAGTTGGATGGTGTTGAAGAGGGAAAACTTTTTGGAGGAGAGGTTTTGAACTAAGGTTTAAAAAATTAATAACTTTATTGAGTTTACTCTCATTGTAAAAGTGGTTCATGTTAAAGCAGAAAACTTGGAAATCATAGGTATCCAACCTTAACATTGTGGTATATGTCCTTTCTGTCTTTTTCTCTAAGCCTAGTACTTAAAAAGTACTAAGTACCTGGCCCATAATAACTCATAATAAATCAATAAATAGTGACTAAAGTAGGACCAAAGACTGCTGGGGAAACTGTGAACAGCCTCACGTGGGGGAAGCAGAAACGCTGTTGCTTAAGCATTTTTGGATTTGGAGGAGAAAGATTAAGCTGCTGCAGCTGCAGGAAGCCCCAGCTCCCTCCTCTCGCTGTCGGGCGGAAGCTGGGCTGGACCACGGAGTCCTGCTGTGACAAATGCCTGCTAAGTGAGAGCCTGTGAGATCCGGCTCAGGGCTCGGAAGGAAAGACACCTTAGCACCTCTGGGACCTGTAGGAATGAGCATGTTTTTAGGTTACTCTGATAATGACATGCGAGGCAAAGCTGGAGAACGATCCAGCCTCCTGCTCAGGACCTGGCGGCAGTCCCCCAGGTGAGGAATTGGCGGTGGCTTGTGCTGCCTCCCCCAGTGCCCCTGTGAGGAGGCCTCGGGAGGCCAGGCGCGCGAACAGCTCAGTGCTTATCCCTGAGGGAGACTCAGCCTCCCCCAGGGCCTGTTTCTTCTTTCCTCCCTTTCCCTGCAGATGAAGCCCAGGAAGCAGAAGCCATTCGGATTTTGACTTCAATCTTGAACATTCGAGAATCGACATCTGACACAGCCCCCCAGAAAACTATCTTTGTTCTGAAAACTCTGGTCATGCTTTACCACCTGATGATGAATTCTTCAAAGGCAAGTTTCCCTAGAAAAGCAGCATGTCTTAAATGGAGGTAGAAATTCCTCTAGTTGAATTCAGCTGTGTTTTGCCCAATCACACTAGCTTTTGCCCTCAGAGTAAGCCCTCCCTCCGGAAAAGTTCGGATGCTCATGACATTTCTCATTTGTTGAATCCAGCCTGCATAATGGAAACGGGATTGTCTTCTTCCCTCAAGGAGTCCTTCCCAGGGTTGCACAGGGAAACTGAGGCTGGGGCAGTGCGAGGAAGCCTGCAGGACAGGAGGGCTCAGGGGAGTCCTTGGAGGAATGGAGTAGTGCTCTAACCACACTCAGTGAGTGAGTTCCCAGTTGCTGGAGGGATCCAGGCAGAAAAGGATTGCCTTGAACTAATTGAAAAGGTAATCGTTTTTGAGTGCTTATTACATGCCAGTCACTGGTCTAAGTACTTTACATGAATTATCATATTTAATTTTCATACCAACCTTTTGAAGTAGGTGTTTTATTGTTCCCATTTTATAGATAAGGAAACTGAGGCACAGAGAGGGTCCATTATTTGCCCAATTTCTTACAGACAGTAAGTGGCAAATCTCAGGTTTGTTGGTTTATTGATTAGCTGATTCACTCATTCATTCAAGTATTTATTGAGGATCTATCATTTGCAAGGCCCCGTTCCAGGGACTGGGGGTACAGTGGTGAACTACCAGCTAAGTTCCCTATCTCCATGGAACTTACATATTTTGGGAGGAGGGGAAGTCACAGTAAATAAGTGAACATATAAATGTGTGATATAATTTGAGATAGCAAAAAGCACTACAAAGGAAAATAAAGCAGGCAAAGAGAGAGAGGGAGGGCCAGTTGGATTCTGTGTGGGTGTCACGGAAAATTTAGGATTCCCTTCCCCGCCTTCCTTTCTTCCTTCTTTCCTTTCTTCAGCAAACTTACTAAGCACCTACTGTGTACCAGGGCCTGGAGGAGCTCACAGCCAGTGGGTTATAATGGAGGTGATAGCGAAGCCCGGGGCACTGTGGGAGCACAAAGCAGGGACACGAACCCCACCTGTGATGGGGTGGGAGTGGTTAGGGAACCATCTCCATGGAATTCCCAAGTTTACATTGGACAGAACCTCTTTTCTACAGTTCAGAGTTCAATTTTCTACTGTATACTCAAGGCAGTCATTACCCCAAGGTGTTAGATCTACAAGAGGCCCTTAGAGAAAAGGGACACATCCATCTCCTCAAGATTGGCACCTCACTTCCTTCAGCTTTTGACTCAGTCGTCTTCTTTTCAGTGACGCTTTCCCTGTAGTTTCCATCAAAAACTGCAAAACCCCACTACCACCCTTGATGTTTCCTATCCCCCTTTCCTGCTTTCTTTTTTTCCCTTAGCGTGTATCACTATTTAAGATATGATCGGGCTTTACTGATTTGCCTTGTTTATTGCCTCTCTCCGCTACTATGTTGTAAGTTCCACAAGAGCAGGGATTTCTGCCTGTAGTCAGAGTACCTGGAACGTAGCAGCCATTCAATAAATATTTATTTATTTATTCAAATTATTTGAATATTCATTTGAATGTTTTAATTTGAATTATTATTCAAATACTTATTGAAAGAAAGGAAGGAGGGAGGAAAGAAGGAAGGAAAGAAGAGGGAGGGAGAGTGGGAGGGCGGGCAAGCCAGAGTCTGTGCCAAGATGTCCTGTGAAGCCTCTGTCCAAGACTAAACTCTGGGCCACATGGCCCTCAGGGTGGCAGTTTGCTTGTGGCACCTGTCACCTCTGTGCCTCCCAATGTTGGTTCAAAGGACCCTGGTTAAGATCCTACCAAGATGTCACTTTGCTAGGAAAGTGTACTTAGTTCTTAGTTTGTCAAGCCAAATGGGTTTTTCTGGTGCTCCCTGCCCCACCCCACCCCCCACTTGGCTGGCTGTAAGGACCAAGTGTGTGTTCACAAGTTTCCAACAAGAGCTCGGTGGCTGGTGTGAGAAGCTGATGGGTCCTTCCCCATGTTTCTGGGGTTGAGTACAGAGGGGGCTTCCCAATGTAATGCTTTCCTGAGACAACTTCCTTTTGCCACCTCAATTCTATTCCAGGCACAAGAATATGCCATGAGAGCCTTCAGTCTATCCAGAGAACAACAGCTCAGTGACCAAGAACAGAGCACCATTCAAGAATTACTAAGTCTCATCTCAGCTGAAGAAACTCATCCCGTTACTTAGTGACCCATGAGCTCCACGTCAGGGGCTGTTCAAGGGGCTACTGAACATCTACTATAGCCCAGCCTCGCACAACTGCTTTGAGGTACCTGAATCGCTGAAGTTCCCACCCTCTCCCCCTGCAACTGCACATATAGCTGTGTTTTTATTCTTACATAGCATATGGAGGGAATATAGGGCTTTAGGCATAGAAATCAGTAAACCTGTTATTTATCATGACCTTTGCACTTGGTTTATCGTGACTTTGCATGACTTTGAGTAATGTGCTGTCAGCTCACTAACATGGTATTTGTAATTAAATTGCAAATAGTTTATCATATTTCCCAGAAGTCTCCCAGTGATGCATATTTCATAGATCTTTGCCAGAGAAGGGGGTCGGGAATAAAGCTATATTGGAGCAAAGTTTCCCTCTTCTACTGGAATTAAGTAAGCATTAATCTGAAGTAGATTGTGATTAAAAGGTCCACTATAATTCCTAGAGCAATCACTAAGAAAATGACTCTAAAAAATAGTTAAAAATCAACAAAGGAATTAACATGGTACACTAGTAAAGATCACTTAATGCAAAAGAAGGCAGTAAAGGAGGAATAAAGAAACAAGAAGGACATGAGGCATGTAGAAAACAAATAGCAAAATGCAGATGTCAATCATAGGTCTTTGCCAGAGAAGGCCCTGGGCCTTGCAAGGAGCCCCAGTATGGACTGGCTGAGATACCATTCCAGGTTAGTGCCTTTCTTTTCTCAGACAGTGGTTTGAAGCAGACGTGACTAGGGGAGAAGCACTCTGAAAGGCCCCCTGTGATGTAGGGATGGAGTGCAGGCCTTGGAGTCAGACATGCCTGGGTTCAAATCCCAGCTCTCGCTTAATAGCTTTGTGACCTTGATCCCCCCCATAACCTCATTCATCATTGTTGCAAAATGGCCCAGATGTGGCCATGGCTGTATCAGCTTGTCCCATAGAAGACTCTGGTGATTTAGCACATCCTTTTTATCTCCAGACTCACTGAGCAGCCTGCCCTCTGCTTAGCTCTCTGCTTCCTGCATAGATCTGCACCCAGGGAGAAGATATGCAAGTCAAGGACCTGTTGGAGAGTTTTATGTTCCTCACTGTAAATTAATTCACTCTGACACATAGAATAAAAATATGTCAGATGGGCCACCCTTCAGGTCTAGGTAAAATCTGCTGGAACCCCCATTCCATACCTTTGGGCATTCTTATGCTTCTCCAAGATGGCTGTGAAATCCCAGGGTCTTACTTCTCTCACTCCCAATTTTCAGCTTCAATTGCATTCAACACAATCCTTTCTTCTTGATTCTCACTCCTAACCCCAAATCTGAGCCAGCTCTTTCAAATAGATTTTTAACGAAGATTGGGGGGGTGAGGAGGAGGATCAACAACTCTTTAGCAGATAATTTAAATGAAAATATTAGAACTTCCCTATTCTAAAAAAGTCCTTCAGAGTCCATTTTATTAAACTCTAGCTCTCTCTTTAATATTCATTGGCCCGTTTCTCTTTTTCCTCCTGTCCTTTATCTATTCTCTCTTCTCTCCACCCCTGAATTATTGTTCATGAATCTTTCCCCATTGAGTATATTTATAAAATTACTGTTTAAATTAAATTGCTTAAATATATCTTTCCTATTGATTGATTTTCCTCTTGGTTATGGGCCATAATTGTCTGCTTTTTCACATGTCTAGTAATTTAATTTTCAGTCTTCTGCTTTTCTAACACTTGCATTTAAGGCTATAAGTTTTCCTCTAAATACTGCTTTAGTTGATCCCACATATTATGAAATGCAGTATTTTTATAGTTATTTTGTTCTAAATATTTCTTAATTTTTTATGACTCATGAGTCTTTTAGAAGTATGATTCTTAATTTCTAAGTGATGGTGACTTTAATTACTTCTTTGTTGTTGATTTCTAGTTTAATTTTATTGAGGTCATAAAATATGCTGTGTACAATTTTACTTTTAGAAATTGGTTGAGATTTGCTTTATGGCCCAGGATGTGGTCAATATTTGTAAATGTTCTGTGTGTGCTAGAAAAGAATGGTGTTATTGGGCACAATGTGTCCATTAAGTCAAATTTGTTCATGTTTTCATATCTTGCACATCCTGGCTGAATTCTTTATTTCTGAGAGAGGTATATAAATCCATCCAATATGATTATGGATTTATCTATTTCTCCTTGTAGTTATGTGAAATTTTTGCTTTATACATTTTGAGGTTTTGTTATTAGGCAAGTACAAATTCAAATATTGTATTTTCCTGGTGAATTGAACCTTTATTTTCTGTATTATGAAGTGATTCTCTTTATCTCTAGTCTGTTTTGGTCTGATATTAACGTAGCGACACCCATTTCCCTTGGGGCCTGGTTGCTGGTTATCAGTTGGCACCATCACTTACATCTGCTTCAGTACTTACCTCTGCGTTGAAGGGGAATCTTGGAACTGCAGTTCCCAGTATCTCTTTCCTTTTATGATTCTGGGTTAAATTCAGCCAATGAGGGGCAACTGCATCAGATTTGGAAGCTGGATGAGAAGGAGCAGCCATCAGTCCTCTGGGAATCACCCGCTCTTGCCTTCCTGAAAGCAATTTCCTGTGCAAGTCCCCTGATCTTCAGCACCCAGCCATTTCAGACGTGAGCCTCAAACCCCCAGTGTTAAATAAATCTGTCTACTCAGAATGCCTAGAGAGGCCTCTGTTTTCCCAAGTATACCCTGACTAAACACGTATCTTTATCTTCTTGCAAGCTTTTACTTTCAGACAATTTGTATCCTTATGTTTTGGATATATCTCATGTAAAAACAATATAATTAGATTTTTTTTATATCTGTAATTTTTAAAGAATCATTTAGTCAATTTACATTTTGTTTATATGCTAAATTATTTGAGTTTAAATTTATGATCTTATTTTCTGCCTTCTATTTGTCCTACATATTCTATTTTCCCCTTTCGTTCTTTTGGGTTGATTATATATTTTTTCTCATTCCATTTTCTCCCTTCCTCTGCTAGTGTGCAGTTATATACCATGTGTATATTCTTTTAGTGATTACCCCAGAAATTCAAATATTCATTCCTAACTTATCAAAGGCTAAAGTTAGGATGGGTCAGGTCAAAGTCAGAATATTGACCCTTACCCTGGACAATACAAAGTCTTTTTTTTTGAGGAGGAGGAGGATTGACCTTGTGCTAACATCTGTTGCCAATCTTCCTCTTTTTCTTTTTTCTCCCCAAAGCCCCAGTACATAGTTGTATATCGCCAGTACATAGTTGTATATCCTAGTTGTAGGTCCTTGTAGTTCTTCTGTGTGGGATGTCACCTCAGCATGGCTTGATGAGCGGTGAGTATGTCCACGCCCAGGATCTGAACCAGCGAACCCCAGGCCGCCGAAGTGGAACGCACAAATTTAACCGCTATGCCACTGGACTGGCCCCAATACAAAGTCTTTAAAACCTTTTAACTCCATTTACTTCTCCCTAACTTTATATATTATTACTGTTATTTATTTCAAATATATCTTAAACCCACAAGTCATAATTATTATTATTTTATAAAGTCAAATTATTATTATTTTATAAAGCTTGCTTTTCACACCTTCTATCCTGGCTCACATTACTGATAAATCCTTTAGTATTTTCTACAGTGAGGGTTTGCTGATGGCAAATTCTCAGATTTTCTTTCTTTCATTAATCTGAAAATGTTTTATTTTGCCCTCATTTTTTTGACTCTTCAATGAAAATGTATTTCGTTTTCCTACATGATAACAGTGATGCAGGACATAATCTCATTTCCAAAGATTTCTGTGAAATGTGGTTTACTTGACCCAAAAAAGTGTAAGCAGGTTGAAGAGGAGCAGAAGTTCTGGGGAGATAAGAGTGTCTCTTATCTTCCCAGCAGGGAATCACATCTTTCCTAAGCATCTTCAGGTTTGTGCAGGTTTGGAGCTGAAGAGTCATGTCTGAAAGACCTGGCTGAGTGGTGTCTACTAGCAAGTACACGTGCACGGCATAGATTCCACCGTGTTGTCTGTGGACCTTCATTTAACAAAACTTCACTTTGAGCAGGTGCTCTGCATTCCCACTAAATAACATTTCATCAGTGCATAGCTACAGACTGTGCTGTGCCGTATGTCCTCAGATGACGAAGATCAGAATCAAACTGCTCTACCACCAGCAGGTCCCACTAAGGATATGTATCATGCAAGTGAGGGGTCTCTGTATTCACGATGGGTCTATGAAGTACAACATCTCTCAAGAACAATAGGTCACACAAAACAAACAATTGGCAAAGCAAATGCTTCAAAAATGATGATGGAGCATTACTTGAATGACAGACCCTGTTATCATTTTGTTTGATAGAAAAAGTGTCTTTCCTGATAGTCATCAAGATTGATGACGATGTGATGGAGATATCTTATTTGACAAGTATGCATACACAGTTTCAATAGTTGATTAATACTTAAATAAACAGCAGCAGCAGCAGTTATAAAAGCATATAAACAAGGTTACTATTGAGACCAGGATATAAAACCAGGATTATATATTATGAATGTTGCCCCTTTCTTGCAAACCTTTGTAAGGATTGTAGATCTCCCAGAACATCTTAATGAACAAGGAAGAAAAAAGTTTTCCATGAAAAAAGATCATTCAGAGTTTTAAAGTCGAGTTTCACCACAAGAAACGAAACTGGATGTGGGAGATGAGGAAGACAGCAGCCAAAGGGACACCTGGAGTCGTGTTTGCCTTTCTCTGGTTTGAGCACGCAGTTGGCCTTGTGCACTCAGGCGAGGAGGCCCTGGAGGAGGGGCGGGTCTGGGAGGGAGAGAGGACGTGAGTTCAGACTAGGGCGAGGAGAGTCTGAATTGCTTGTGTGACATCTGAGGAGGCGTGGAAAGGTGGGCAAGTGGACATGCAGTCTGACACTAAGAAAGGAAGCCTGGGCTCAGGAGAGGAATTTGAGAGTATCAAGTAGATGGTAATTAATACTATGGAAATGGAGGAGCCCCCAGGGAAGAGAAGAGAGAAGGAAGAGAAGAGAGCCTACGCCCTGAGACCAGACATGTAATAGAGAAGAGACGAGGCCAGCAGACGAGGCTGACAGGACTTCAGATTTGTTCAGACTATCCATACAAAGAAGTCCCGTATACCTTTCACCCGGAGTCCCCAAATGGTAACGTTATACATTTGCTTTATCGTTTTCTTCCTATAGATACCCATTATTTTTGGAACCATTTGAAAGTAAGTTGCAGGCCTGATGTCCCTTTATCCCTCAATATTTAATGTGTATTTTCTAAAAACAAGGACACTCTCTTACATATTCTCATCAGTACAATCGGCAAAATCAGGAGACTACACTGATAGGATACTATCAGACAATAAAATACAGACCTTACTCAGATTTC